TAAAGGGAGGGGGGGGGGACATTTTTCATTCTTGTGCACAATAGAATTGTAAATGGGCTGGTCTTACAATGTCATGCTCATAACTACAACAGGGAACTGCTGCTTTTTCTTTCCTAATCCTTACTATCGTCTTTTTCCTCTACTTCTTTTGTATGTTTGTCACATTCTATTGACCCGCTATTCCCTGGGTGGCTATATAGTCGAAGCAGACTTTGTGCTGTTGAAGCTAGAGAGGTGATCAGAGTAAATCTGATTCCCTGCAAGGACTTCTCTGTTGACATCCACCCCTTGGCGCTCATATGACCGTATGCAGTTGCGTGCGCCGTAAAACCTCTACTGAAACTATTTTCATGATTATTGATGTTATTAAAACGACGATTAATATGCAACTATCATTATCTAGATCAATATTATTTTCATTATCATTTTAATATGTAACGGTGTTATTACTACTATTGTTATCATTTTCATCATTGAATTTTTTGAGCATTCAAATGAAAAAACAGAGGAACACATTTTGCCAATATTTGCTTGAGATCTGGCACTTTATGTGGATGGAATTTCTCAACGTCGTACAGGTACATGGCATTATTTTATGGAGATGCGAACACAAAATTATTTGCAGTAACCAATTCGACTTCTCCCTCGTATAATTTGCTGTCAGGCAATAATAATGCCCATGTATAATCATCACAGAAATTTTACTGGTCCTCCTGTCTCTTTTCGCATTTCTAAGTCCCATAAAGATTTGTAAGTAACTTGAACAAACAACGACATGGACAACAACTCATTCATGGGGGAGGAGGGGGCTCAACTAAAAGAGACGCATTGGGTGCCACAGCCACCAGATTTTTATCAAAATAAGACATTTATTGGTGATAATGATGTACCAGCATCAGAGAGCTAAAGTCATTTTTTTCTTACTTACTCTTTTTACGATACCGTCTCTGTGTCAGTTTTGGTATACCATGTATACAGCCCTGAAATAAAAATAAGACAAGTAGCAAATACGTCTACCCAGAAAAAATGTCCCATTACGTAGCAACGGTCAGAAACGCTCCCCAGCAGATAATTCCTGACGTAGCTGTTGTTGAGAACACTTCTAGCTGGGGACAACAAGCTCAAAGCTAGGGCAGAACTTTGGTCCTGGACGATGTCTGATAGCTTTAAGGACAGGAACATTATCTGTCCAGAAAGCATGGTCACTCCTGGGGATAAGAGAATAATAAAGAATCGCTTTTGATTTGCTTTGGGGGGTTTTCGTTGTTCGGGGTCTCTCTATCTATCTATCTATCTATCTATCTATCTATCTATCTATCTATCTATCTATCTATCTATCTATCTATCTATCATCTACCTATCTATCTATTTATCTATATGAGACCTCCTCCGACCCTGCCTGCCAGGGCCCACTCACTCTGAATGAGATACAGTACCCTGCAGAAAAATGGAGATAGACTATAGAATTGATGTTCCCACGTAATGGAAGCGGTGTAGCGGTTATGCGTTTAACAGTTGCACGTAGAAGACCCGAGTCTCATTCTCGTGTGAGGAGAATTTTGGAATTTTTTAAAGTCTAAATTTAGCAACGCGGTCTTTCTGCTGGACCGTTGTATTTGTTAAACAAAAAAAAAGTCTGCCTTTTATGATCTGGATTGTCGCGCGTAAACAATACTTACATGATATTTTTTTAACCAACCTAGCACATATTTCCCATAGTAATGAAAACAAACGTGCAAAGATGGGGTTCATTGTTATGTAGATCTACTATAATATATTGTTATGCCACTCACCTGAAACAGCACATCCAATCACAACGGTGTAACGAAAACGCAAGGTTGTGAATAAGCAAGAAACCCGTTTGAGCTCTTTGTCCAGATGAGACGAAAAGACGAGAGTCTGCAGTGTGAAGACCAGCGATGCGATGTAAATTAGCTGACAGCAGTATAATATCTCTGATGGGGCACGAGATGGAGAAAAAAAAGATAAGAACACAGTATTAAAATCTAATAAAGGTGTCTGAATTACAGAAAGTCAAATGGTTTGGACATATGTTAAGACTACCACCAGACAGTATAGCAGAGAGGGCACAAAACCAGATATCAGATAGAAACATAGGAAGGGGCAGGCACAGAAAAGGAAAAACATGAGGAGGAGGATGTCAAAGAAAAATGCTTTTAGTCAGGAACTACATCGCCATGCAACGGGCGACGCAACAAACAAGAGAAAAACATTTCCCTGTCTCCCTTCGACGACGGAAAAAGTAAGTTGAATTTAGTCAGAATTACAAAGTTGCCTGTTGGCGATTTTTTTAAAAAGTGAATATTATTTATTTTGCTTCGTGCAGTCACTGCTAAATGTAACGTTATAAAATGGAAATAATTCTTTTTTAGTAATGATAATTTATACAGAATTCATTTCAATTCATTTTAATTCATTTTAATTCATTTCACACAAACACACATACGCACACACACAAACACACAAACACACACACACACACACACACACACACACACACACACACACACACACACGCACACACAGACACACACACAAACACACACTTAAGCCTACTGTTTCACTCTTGCAAAAAAATAATATTATTACGCAGGCTCTGTTCAGCCACACGCACGTTACTATAATTGTGCTAGAAGTTTACAATATTTATGCATTGATTCAAGTCCACCCTGGACTTTGTTGAAACAGCCGCCCATCTCCTGTTAATTCTTTGACGACGTAATGGGCACATGTGTTTCATCAGCAGAGGACTAAAGGCAATGTTGAGACACATTTCGAATCAACCTACGTACACAATCGTTGTTACCTGCCTGTTTAATTACGTTTCAAATAAAGAAAGCCTAAATAAAATATGTTATTAGAAATATCGGATGAATAATAAAGTAAAACTTCTTTTTTAACTACCTTAAAACCGTCGTGTCGTGAAGTGTGTAAAATGTTCGTTTTCAAAGAGTTAAAAGGTGTCAAATCGTCCTGAATCACCACGATCAGGCTCGGGGATATTTATTTGTTGTTATGCAAATCTACTGTGACCACTGAATATCAAATTAACGGAACATAGATCTAATATGTTTGTGGCGTCTGCATTCTAGTAGTTATTCTTCAGGACTTACAGTAGTGAGGTCATAGATTCAAATCCCTGTATGGCGGGCTATTGTAAAAGGCACTTTATATAATAAATGCACCCCCCCCCCCCCCAGGACAGTGCTACTGACTTCAGAAGTGTTTTTAGGCCATTCCCAAAGAGGGGGGAGGGGGTATTAACATGTTTTTATGCTCAAGAAAACATAGGGAGACACAAACGGACACTCTTTCTTCGAACAACTCTCGGACTTAATTAGCAACATCCCAGACGAGGAAGACCTTTATGTAATGGGAGACTTCAACGGAAGAATCGGAGAGAGAAGAACACCGTGGACAAAACACCTGGGTCCACACAGTGACCACAGAACACCATGCAATTATAACGGCAACCATGTACTGGAACTGTGTGCAGAGCACGACTTATTCATCACCAACACCTTCTTCCAGCACAGAGCCTCTCATATCTACACCTGGTACAGATGGAACAACATCATGGTCTCATCACAGATCGACTTCATATTAACGAGAACACGAATGCGGATCACAATCACAGACTCAAGAGCCATCCCCAATGCAGGCCTGGACACAGACCACAGGCCAATCATCACAACGTTGACCACCAAGAAAGAAAGAAAACCAAAAAAAACATAAAAGACAGCAAGAGAGACTAAATATGCATGAACTTGGAGATGATCAGGTGCAGGCTCAGATCAGAAGCACGTTAAATGAAAAACTAGGCTCTATCAACTCTACAATACTAACTGTAGAGAAAGCTTGGGATACCTTCAAAACAACTCTCCTGGACACAATGAAAGAAGTCTGTGGTACCAAGAAAACAAGAGGAAAACACAGAAAAACAACAGCCTGGTGGAACGAAGAAGTTAAAGATGCTATCAAGGAAAAAAAGAGACTGTATAATGTATGGGTCAAGTCAAAAAACGAAGAGGACTACATTAAATATAGACTTGCAAGAAGACACAGTAAGAAAGTCGTTATAACATCAAAAGAAAAGTCATGGACCCAGTATGGCGAAAAACTAAGTGAAACCTGCAAGACCTCACCAAGAGAGTTCTACAAGAAGGTAAAGACAATGAGAACGAGAGACGAATCCTATGTACCCACCACTGTCATCAACGATACTAATGGAGAAGCTCTGCACGAAGAGAAAGAAATAATAAAAAGATGGGAAGAATATTTTCAAGAACTACTAAACCCATCAGGAGTACAGGCACAAAACACACAGTGCCCATTCCCGCCAACTACCCTGAGCACTCAGAACCTACCATCCTGGAGAGTGAAGTGAGAGAAGCATTGAAAACTAGTCCAAAGAACAAGGCAGCTGGAGACGATGGCATGACAACCGAAGCCATCCTTGCATGCGGCGAAACCGGAATACATTGGCTTACAATCATCTTTCAAAAAGCATGGAAAGAAAGAAAAGTGCCAGCAGACTGGCAAAATGCGATAGTGGTGCCAATATGGAAGAAAAAGGGCAGCAAGAAAGACTGCAACACCTATAGAGGCATATCTCTTCTCAGCCATGTGGGGAAAATGTATGCAAAAATCCTAGAGCGACGTACTCGCGCAAAAACCGAACATCTTCTCAGTGACGCCCAATTTGGCTTTAGAAAAGGAAGAGGGTGCACTGATGCAATCTTCGCACTCCGACAACTGTGTGAGAGGGCTTTGGAATACGACAAAGATCTCCACCTCGTATTTGTGGATCAAGAAAAAGCCTTTGATCGAGTAAATAGAAACAAGCTATGGACGATCTTAGAGCAGTACGACATCAAGGGACAACTGCTAGACAACATCAGGGCTATCTATGCCAACAGCAGAAGCGCTGTCCGAACTACCAGTGGAACATCCGACTGGTTTCCAGTAACATCCGGAGTGAGACAGGGCTGCAATCTCTCCCCTCTGCTCTTCGTGATCTACATGGACCAGATAACAAAAGAGGCCAATCCAGACCCAGAGGCACTCAACGAACTCATGTTTGCAGATGACCTGGCAATGATTAACAACAAGACTCAGCTACAGGAGCATATAAACCAACTAAATGCGAGCTGCGAAAAATATGACAGGAAGATCAGTATAAGCAAGACCGAAGTCATGACAATTAGCAGGAGACCAGGTAAAGTGGATATCAACATCAATGGATCCCAACTAAAACAAAGCAGAGAATTCAAATACTTGGGCAGCATTTTCACAGAAAATGGAAAATTAGATCGAGAGATAGAGACTAGATGCCAGAGAGCCAACGCAGTCAGCTACCAACTGGGCCCTCTCCTGAAACATCCCAATATCCCCATGAGCACCAAGGCGAAGCTCATCAACGCCATTTTCCTTCCAACGCTCACATATCAGTGCCAGACATGGACTCTAACAAAAGCCCTAGAGAGGAAACTGGTCACATGCGAGATGAAATGCTTAAGAAGAGCGGTCAACAAAACAAGAAGAGACAAAATTTAAAATGAAGTCATAAGGGACACCGTGGGAGCAACACCAGTCCTACCACACATTGAAAAACAAAAGGTCAAGTGGTTCGGACACCTCACGCGGATGCCCTCAAACCATCCAGCTCTGAGAGCATACAACATTAAATATTCTGGATGGAGAGCCAGAGGAAGACCAAGGCGACGATGGAGTGAATCTGTGGCAGACACCCTTAAAGATCATGGGATGTCCCTCCTACAGGCCACACGACTTGCTGCAGACAGACACCTGTGTCTCCCCGCGACACCCCAGGGTACAAGCGGAAGAAAAAAGTAAAGTAAGTATAATTTTTTTTCAATGGGCTGATTTATCAATGTCATTCTCATACTGTGCCGGAACAACATAGGGGGAACTTTTTCTTTCCTCATCCTTACTATTATCATATTTTCCTCTACTTCTTTTGTATGATTGTCACTCTCTTGTGAACTGCTATTTCTGAGGTGCCTTGATAGTCGATGCAGGCTTTGTGCTGCTGAAGGTAGAGAGGTGAGCAGAGTAAGCCTGATTCCGCTTTTGGACTTCTCAGTTTTTACTTTTTTTTTTTACCCAAAAAACAAAACAACCCAACAAATTTTAATGTTTATCGTTTCATTCAGGTAAAAATGTTTACCCCGCTAACGACGGTGAAAGATTCCAGGAGTGCTAATAAAAAGTAATGACAACTTGCATTAAAATAATATGCTTGCAGGAAGCCAGGGGTGTTTCAGAAAGATACAAGGTCCGTCAAGATCTATTACAGTGTAGAGCGATTAAAACCTGCAGTCCGGTCTGGATATTTCTAGATTTTGGACTATTTTATTCTGCACAACACGTACTTTTTTGTGGGTTTTTAAACATTTATTTATTGATCTATCTATTCATATATTTTGTTTTGGGGTGTTTTGGGGGTATTGTTTTCCTCACCGCGCCATTTACAAATATTTTGTTTCTTGCAAACGTTTTGAATTCACATTTAGAGTTGTCCAGTACCGAATGTTCCAATCAAACAGGTTTTTATGATGAAATTATAGCCATGCCGCTTTTGGCATTATTTTTACAAACGACTGTGACTTGGAATGTTCTTTTAAAATCGCCCAAATCACGAATTAAAATCACTCGCGAAACTCTACCTCGTATACAATAAGTGCAATATATTATTTATGTTTTACCTGAGTCTTTGGTGGAAAATAGTTGGGACATAGAGTTGTTCTTGCCAGTGTCATCTGCTGCATAGTTATCACTAAACCGGTGACACTTGACCCGCCTTCGCCCGTTCCTGGAGTGAAGGATTGTTGTACAAACTTTCCACAGACCGAAGTATGTTGCTGGCTGGTCTACGTAGGGTAGACGTTCTGAACAAAGTATAGATCTATTTAAACAACAGGCATTATACTGGTTTATTTGTTGTTGTTAGATTGTTGTTGTGTTGTTGTTATTGTTGTTATTGTTTTGGAATTCAGAAGGTTGTTTTGTTTTGTTTTATTTTGTTTTGTTTTGTTTCTCGAGGGAAGGGTGGGGTGAGTGTCGTTCGAAAAAAATAATATTATTACGTAGGCTTTGTTCAGCCACACGCACGTTACTATAATTGTGCTAGAAATTTACACTAATTTTTTTTTCTTGGGGGGGGGGTTTTGGTGTGGGGATGACGGTAGCGTCGAGTTTTACGACTTTTTTTTCTTCGTAAAACGCACCATTTCTACTGATCTTATCGTTAACGTAGTGTTGTTTTGTTTTTGCTATTGTTGCTCTTGTTGTTGTTGTTATTATTGTTATTGTTGTTGATGTTGTGGTTGTTGTTGTTGTTTTTGTTTGTTTGTTGTATTCCTGAGCTAAGTTTCTAATAAAACCTGAAATATGTCGAAACATAGGAAATATTTTAAATTGCACTTAACACGCCTAAAACACATCCAAGTCTACAATAACAGTATATTTTCATAATGCATATTTTTCTTCTACCCAACAATAATGAAAATGATGATGAGGAGGAGGGGAGAAGGAGGGGAAACGGAAGAGGAGGCGGAGGAAGAGGACGAAGAAGAGGGAGAGGACCAGGACAACGAGGATGTGAAGGAGGAGAAGGAGAAGAAGAGGGGAGGATGAGGATGAAAAGCATGAGGATGACGAAGAGGAGGATGACGAGGACAAAGAGGACAAGGAATAGCAAGAGGACGAAGAGGAGGAGAAGAGGTTGGGGGAGGATGACGACGCCTAAGAGGGGGAGGTGGAAGACGACGAAAACGACGAGGAGGGGGAGGTTGAGAAGAAGAAGAAAGGAGAGGAGGAGAAGTCGGAGGACAACGATGAGGTCGAGGACAATAAAAATACGGGGTATAAGACTTAGTGCGAGGAAGAAGAAGAAAAAGGTGAAGAAATAAACCGATAACGACGATACAACACGTCTCTATTCTTACCACTGACGTTGATGTCTTCATCACAAGATCCACTACTCTCTATCTCTGTCGATGCCACCGGCAATTCTGCCATGAAATTCAACGTGTACACCAAGTTCGGCTGTGTCAGGCAGAAGGAATGAAGTAAAGCTGAGACAATGAGCATTGCTGTTGCCACAGACATCTGTTTTTGACGACTGCTGATCAATTCAGACGGTTTGTCAGAACACAGGCGATGTGACGTGCGTTTTCCAGGGAGCACAGCCATCTCTGAAACACACAATAAAAGTAGCTATAACACACCTGTGATCCTTACATAACATAACAACAACAATAATAATAATAATAATGATAATAATAATAATGATAATAATAATAATAATATAATAACAATAATAATAATATAATAATGATAATAATAATAATAATAATAATAATAATAATAATAATAATAATAATAATGATAATATTGCTCCTGTTTCGGTGATTACTATTGTTATTGTTGTTGTTACTGCTAGTGCTGTTGATAATTATGAAGAGTCCTTATTTTTGTCTAGTTTTCTTTTACTTCTAATTTTTTCTACTTTGGTTCTCTTTTTTTACGATGATGATGATGGAAATGAATAAGCTGAGAGGTGGGTGTAGGAGGAAAAAGATAATTCCTCGTAATTAAAAGACATCACTGACATTTTCTTTTAAGAAATTTTTAACACCGGCAACAACTAACAACACCTTTGGGCATCAAAATTTGAAAGCACATCGATGAAAACAACGCCAAACATAAATCACAAATTCTACTCAATTTGAAATCACATCTTTTTTCCTTGCTAATGACTGCTTGTCTGACTGCAGAGAGCTGGCTCTTGTTCTAGCCAAAGCAGACACTGCCTCGACAGCATGGTAAACACAGAAGCACTTTAGCCTAACATTGATGGATCAATTATTATCTTGATAGAGGAGAGGGAGGGGGGGGGGGGCGATTTCAGACGACCGGCACATTAATCAGCTGCTTTGGAGACTCGGAGACACGGCATCTTTTTAAAAAACTTTTTTGGTGCGTTTTTCGATCGCGATCCTGGATGATTGCCAAAACAAACAACGTAATGCTTTGCGCTTAGCAGCATGCTGTGGAATTCTAATCAATGAATTTTAGTTGTAGTCAAATTAAACAACGACTGTGTACGTGTCAGCTGACTCGTTTGCAATCGTCCAGATCTCAACGTTTTATTCACGTTTGCTGCCTTTCCCCTACGTCTACCTCTACATTTTAATATTCAAATCTAACAAAGAAAGAAATGCACAGGTCTGGAAGATTGCCAACCTGCCTTCGTTGGCAGTTGGGAACAAAACGACCAGCTGCTCTGAACTATGAAGCCCATATTTAGATTTGTATTTTGTTTTGTCTTGTTTTTTGTTTGTTTGTTTGTTTGTTTTTGTTGTTGCTATTTCAGTTTCTCAGTGGTATCATCGCATGTGCACTCTTTATCTCCGGCAAGCCGCTCCCAGCGGCTCGCGGTCAGAACCTCTGTGCCACTGAGCCACTGGCAGCGGCTTGGCGCATTCTTTTACGATGACTTTGACATCAATTAATTACTTTTCGGTAATATCCAAAAACTGGTCTCTTTGACCAGAAATTTATTTATTAGATGAAAAACTATCAAAATAGGTTCACTTGCTCTGATTTAATAACTCGTTTAATGAGGTTTTTGTCATTTTTATATTTAGTACCAAAAGAGGACTCCAACGTAAAAGAGATGAAGTCACATTTTTTTGAAATTTAAATAATGCATTTTCCACTACAACAGGAGCGTATTTTTATGCACAGTCCAGGTAGGGGCTAAGAAAGGATGCATACAAGGAAGAAAATACACTAAAATTACAGGATAACTAGTATAGAAGTAAAAGTATCACTCGGTCTTGTCCATACCATCTCCCCCCCCCCCCCCCCCACCCCTCCTTTCCAACGAAACTGTAACAACCCACATTTCGACTCTGGGAACACATTCGAGTCTCTATGGTAATATTATAGAATGTTGCCTGTGTTTGATTTGATCCACCAATGAGATCACTTAACCTGTGCCTGCAAGACAATAAGATGCATGGAGTGAGTTTTAAACGGGGTGCCCATTGCGGGTTGGATCGGTTCCGGTCGGGTCGGGTCGGGAGCGATCGCCCCTCTCCGCGATCTCAGTGCTTTCTTGTCGTATCTCCTTTTTAATAACAGTGAAAACAGTTTATAACCAAGAGCGAGCTTAAGAAGAAGTCACATTTTCACTGTTTTCAGAACAATGGAGATACGACCAGAAAGCACTGAGGTCGCGACTCGTCGCCTGAAAACAAACGCGTTTGTTTATGAGGCGACGAGTCGGGCGCGATTGGTTATGCCACGATAGCCGCTTTGCGCCTCAATCTGGTAATACGTGGAGCCCACTACAGATGGGATCGGCCGATCGGGGACACGGTCGCCTCAAAAACAAACGTGTTTGTTTTCAGTTTCAGGCGACCGAGTCAGGCGATCGGCCCGATCCAGCCGTGGAGGCACCCCGTGTAAAAAAAAGCAACCCCCCCCCCCCCCCCGACTAGATCCAATCCCCCAATGGGCACCCCGTATCGATGATGTGCCCACAAGAGACAGATTCAAGCAAAACCCGGGCTCAATATGATCAGACGGAAGACAAACCATAAGCGATTGAAAGTCTACAATGTAGGCCTATAACATTTTAAATATATATCAGATAGAGTGTCATGTGCCAATACAAAGAGAGCATCATGAGCACTGTCCTTCTAATAAAGTATTGCGGGGGGCAACAGGTAATATAAAAATTACTTCTAAACCTGTGTCGAACAGGGAAAATGGATTTCTACAACGGCTTGTGGGATTCCCTAAGAAAGAGTGAATATCGATAAAGTTGTTCAGAGTTTGCAAAATCAGCCTCAAGTCAGCACAGACCATGAAATAGCCAACTAATACTGTGAATGTAACGACGTAGGCTCAGCTGGGCTCATAAATATCAAACATGATTAACCTGTCTCGAATATCACTTCCCAGCGCAGCATCAATAGAGCGATTGTAACAAAAAGGGGTCACTAGAGCGATTTTAACAAAACGGGGTTACTAGAGCAGCTCTGACATAATATCATTGTTATTTACTGGATCTACACATCTGGCATATCCAACGTGGCTCAACCTCAAATAGTGCAGGTTATCTCAGATTTTACACTAACCCTCTATTAGACTCATTGTTCAAGAAAATACCGAGGAAGAACCGACTTAAACTTGAAGAACAACAGCCAAGACTGAAGCTCAAAATCAAGGACCCCAACAAAACAATTAGATTTTTAGAAGGCGTGCAGTGTCGATCCTACTGTCACAGCCAAGCGGGCTGAGTGGGAAACAACATCATAACAATGAGATGGTGACACCCAATTTTTTTTAAAAACCAAGAAGATGGCCTCGAACAGGAGCAAAACTCAGATCATCTGCCTGCAGTAACAAAAGGTATCACCAGGACACCACAAATGCCGGTGCGGACAAGACAGAAAGAAAGAAAGAAATGATGAATGAGAAAGAGACAGAGAGAGAGGAAGAGAGAGAGAGAGAGAGAGAGAGAGAGAGAGAGAGAGAGAGAGAGAGAGAGGGAGAGAGAGAGGGGGGGAGAGAAGATGAAGAAGTAGAAATAGAGAGAGAAAAGGGGGAGGGGTGGGGGGATAAAAAACGAATGAGAAAAAAGAAGAAAACTGGAAGAGAGTGAACTAGAAAGACCACCTGGAGAACAACACCAACAATGAGAATGAAAAGTTAAACAAGAATACGGTAAAGAAAAGAAAATCTGAATCAAGAAGAAAGAGGACAAACGGTTGTTCTCGCAGGCTCACGCTAACCGCTTCCTTCCGAAACATAATATTTTTATACTTAGACTCGTTGCTTTTCACCCCCGTCCCCTGTCTTTTCCATGCTCATATGGAAGCTTACCACACGCTTCGCAATGACACTGAGCCATGGCGTAGTAAAGTACGCTATGCACTGAGCACATTATTTTTCGTGTGAGGTCGACTCGTTTTATCGTCCTTGCTGCTGTTAGCTAAAGTACTTAGACTAATTTATCTATTTGATTTTATTCTACCCCTCTGGCGTTCTTCTTTTTGGGTGGGTTTAACTCCTTTCTAGGCGTTCACAGGAGCCCTGGCCCAGAGTAGTTGTCGCAAGATTTACATCAATGATAATGCCTCATTAAATAAATTGTCGATAAGATAAGTTCAAATGAATTGTCATTGTGCGGACAATGGCGTTTTGGTTTGATGTTTCACCAATTGAAGACACACACACACACACACACACACACACACACACACACACGCATACACACTCACGCTCACACGCACGCTCGCACACACACATATACACACACAGAAACACATACACACAAGCACATATACAGACACACACTCTCATACGTGCTAACGCACACACTAACTAACGCACACAGACAAACACACACAAACAAACACATACACAAACACTCACACATACACACACACATACACAAACACATACACAGACACACACTGGCACACGTGCACACGCACAAACAAACATACACACACATGACACACACACTCAGGCACATAACAAACACACACTTTCTCAAAATCTCTCTTTGGGGGGGGGGGGGTGCTCTCATGGTCAAGAGGTTATAGTGTTTGCCTCTCATTCGATAGTTCTCTAAAATGTTCCACTTTCACCTCCTTTCAGGCTCTCATCATGGTCTGTCGTCTCCTTTTATATCCACTTTCTGCCCCCCCCCCCCCCTCCACTTTGCATCTACCTCTGGACTCCTGACTCCTTCTGTAGCCTTTCGACTGCTTCTACTCCTCGGGTCCTTCTCGTTGTTGACTTTCAAATTCATCCACACCCCTGGTCGTATGGTAGGTAAAATCGAACACCTAGCCTTCTCGGATAACGGCGAAAAATCTTGGAGGTCCCGTGTGCAAGTTGCGCACTTTAAAGATCCCTTGGTAGTCCTAAAATCGGTAAGAGTAGACGTCGGCCACCACCCAGGCAAAAATCGAAATTTCCTAATAACTGGAAAATGTTAAATGTATCCGGCGCGCTCATATGACTTTATGCAGTTGCGAGCGCCGTAAAAGACTTACCAAAAACAGATCTTTTCATGAGGCACCAGGTCTTAAGAGAGGCCAGCTTATAATTAATTCGCAAGCAGTCAGCAGAAGATCGAAGTCAATGGACAAGAAAAGTCAGGAATCCTCGACCATTCTGTTGGGATCAACGAAGAACACCTTCCCAATGGCAGACTTTAGAAATAAGGTAAAACACAACTCCTCTATACTATACTCTATAATAAACAACGCAATAACAAACTCCACAGTGCCACGCCGAAACTGGGCCCACGAAAACCCATAGGACATACCTCATTGGCCCAACTATAATGTCTCCTGCAAGTGGATGAGAAACCTTTCAGTGTCAGATGCGATACAGATTAAACAATTAGACTTATATAATGTCCAGGCTTTGCAGAGACCCGAAGGAAATATTTTAAACGTAAAAATCTATTAGATCTGTTCTCTGTCGTTGATCCCAACAGAATTCTCTATTTTGATAGAGGATAGATTTTTAATTAAGGGTAAAGTGTTGTTTTTTTAGACTGACATATTTACCGTTAAATTGTTAACCCTGACTATTCAACGAAATCATGCCGTGCTGTGAACTGTTGTGAATGATACCAACTTGTGTTTCGCACGCTAAATTGACCTTAATATGCAGTTGCAACTACCGTAAAACTCTTACTAAAACAATCTAACTAAGAATTGACGTTGTTTCCAGTTTCTTTCATAAATAGCTAGGCTTATCTAAAAAAGTGAGGGTGCACATTTGCTTTTAACTGCAGAACCAGGTTGTAAAACACAATGTTTGTTTTCTCATAATTACACATGCACAAAAACAAAAATATTATGCTAAACACTAAGACTAAGAGTGCCACGACCGAATTAATGGCCACAAAAATAACAACTTACGAAATATATTTTTGTATCTAAGAATTAAGACTGTTTCCCGTTTCTTTGCTAAATAACTATGCTTTTCTAAAGTCTGGAGAGTTCAATTTAGCTTGTAAAACTGCAGAACAAGGTTGTAAAACAAAATGTTATCAAATTTGTTAGAACTGCACTTGCACAAAAACACTAATGCTATGCTCAGCAAAGAAATTGTAACGACCGACAGAGTTACAACCGGCATAACGACTTAGGAAGTAAATATGGAAAAGATTTAAGTCTGTATCCCGATTTTTTAATCAAATAAAGTCTAGCAAGTGCAAAGTTGCTTGTAAAATTGAAGAACTATGTCGCAAAACAATATGCTTTGTTATTTATTATAACTACAAATATACAAAACAAAAATACTATGCTCAGCACCGAGAATGTAACGAAACGACCGGCATAGCAACAACCAATATGTGAGGCAACGAGGTGGAATCAGGCTCTCGTCAATTTTTGGGCATGTAGAGTTATTGGTATCATCTTAAAGCTTGTTCATTTGTCTTTATTTGGGTGAAAAATGTATTCATTTATCTTGAATACAAGTCGAGATATTTGCGCATGAAGGAGGGGCTGTTTTCAGGGGTAAAATTAGTGAGAAAATGGCCGCCAAAGATTAGTTATTTCCTTAGCTTAAGAGTCCGTTGTAACTGAAAATTGACTTTTTTCGTGCCTTTAATCAACGTTTTTCAGAAAAATCCACACCTAAATGAGTTCTTTAATGGGACAGAAAGGTGCTGAGCCAAAATAAACAAAAATTTGATAAAAATTCACAAATCTGCGGAAAAATGCAAGTTTCTTCACTTTGATTATTTTGACGAGAGCCTGATTCCACCGTGCTGCCTCACATATAATAACTTACGAAGTAAATTACGAAAACTAAGAAATAAGTCTGTTTCCAGATTCTTTAATAAATTACTAGATCTAGGTTTCCCTAAAGTCTTTTAAGTAAATAACTTTACTAGTAAAACTGCAGAACCAGGTTGTAAAACAAAATGGTCCGCTGTTTGTTACAACTAAACATGCACAATAACTGAAATAAGAATTATCAATACTTAAAGTGTAACGACCGAAACAGCAAAAACCAACTTGACGACATAGGAAACAAATTGAGGATAACTAAAAATTAAGTCTCTTTTCAGTTTCTTTTATAAATACGAGTAACTATAGTGCGGTCAAAAATTCGAGGCGCAACTTTTCCTCAAATATCTTTTTAAAACGGGTGAATCAATGTCACCCATACTTTGCACAGCAGTTTGTATCAATTTGTCTTAACCTAATCATATTTTTCCACAACAATTGAAGCTAATTTTTTTTTTTAAACAACCATTTCTTCATGAATTTATGATACTTTTTACCTAAAAATGTTTTTAAAAGATGAAAGCAACTTTATTTATCTTATCCTCCTACTGTTTTGAAAAACTTGTGCGGTCTGTCGATATTGTCTCAGTATTGGTTATGAAGTAGAAATCTATTAGTTTTTGTGCATCTTCAGTTGTAACAACCAACACATTATTTTGGTTTTCCACAGACGATAGTTTTTCAAAACCTTCTTTGCCCTGCAAAACGTTATCCAAACCCAAATGAGTTCTGAAAAGCTGGAAGCATCTTTATTTCTTTGTCCTCTTGGTTTTTTTAAATAGTTTTTTAGCTTTTATTTATTTGTATTATTTTTTGAGAAACTTGTGTGGTCGGACTTTACACTCCTAGTATTGATTACAATCTATTAGTTTTTGTGAAGGTTCAAGTGTAACAACCAACACATTAATGTGTTTTACTACAAGAGCTAGCTTTTTTGTAAGCTTCTTAGCACAAATAAACCCTATCCAAGTCTAAAAAATGTGTTCCGAAAAGCTTCAAACGCCTAAATTTGTTGTCCTCCTACTGTTTCAAGTAACTTGTTCGGTCGGTCGTTACTTTCTCAGTATTGGTTATACATGTAGTGTAAAACAGGGGGGGTCGTATTCAACGAGGTTGCCAGGACCGGCTTGTTGTCCTCGTTAGATCCGACCTCTCGTTGAACGCGACTAAAGCTAAAGTAAAGAAAGGATACAAGTTATTATATTACACAATGTACCAATACCTGTAATTTAAGTAATTAAAACAGTTGTTCCCCCTGATTACGAAAATATCAAACAGCATCAGTGCGCGCGTGTTTGAGCTGTTTGACCGTCATAATTTTTTTTTCATTTATAAAATTTTAAAATTCCGGAACACTTCTCGTGTGGAAACATACCCTCTCACATCTAGAATCTAGGCCTAGATCTACATAAAGTAAAGGCGGGACCTTGGATTTTCTGATCAGGGGAAGAGAGAAAATTGAAAAAAATGAAGGTCTCGATCTTGACCAACCCATCCAGAGTTCATCCAGTTTCACGCAGCCTGCATCGCGTTCCTACCGTAGGCTAACCCTCGTCCATCCTCTTGGCTTTGGGGCCCATATTACGAGGCACACTAGATCTAGCAATACAATGTGTTAGGAATCGAGGATGGGCCTTGCGAAAGGATGGGCCTTGAGAAAGGAGAAAATTCCTCGCTTTTGGGGACGCTAATTGCTTTTATTTGGTTTATCGCGACCTCGTTGAAAGCGACTTCGGTCTGTTTGCAACCTCGTTAGTTAGAGCCGACGTACATTTACGAAGAAATAATATTATAGAGGAAAAAATCGGGGATTAAGGATTGTGTCGTTGGAGCCGACTTCTCGTTGAATGTGACCTCGTTAAATGCGGCACCCACTGTAGTGCTTATGCATTCTATATTGCAACAACCAACACAGCATTGTGTTTTACCACAGGTACAGGCATTTTATAGGCTTCTTTGCATGGCTAAACTCTATCCGAGCCAAGATGTGTTCTGAAAATCTAGAAACATCTTTATTTCTTTGTCCCCCTACTTTATAAAGTAACTTGTCCGGTCAGTTGTTACACTCTCATTATTGGTTATAATTAATATAAAGTGCCGAAGATTAGAGGTTTTACAAGAGAGTAACATTCAAGAAAAGAAGAAGAAATAAGGATGGTAGACGTTTGATAGGAAAGAAGAAGCAAACCACACCAGAGCAACCGCTGCAAAAAAAATGTCAAAAAGACAACCAGCAACCCGCTAGATCTTTCATCCATCAGTTTAATAGTAACCGCAGATTATATCAGTAATAATGTGTAAGAAAGTACGAGAGAAGTACACATCACCTCAGTGACATCACATATCTCTTACCCTCAAACTTTCCAGTCTATCTAGCATACAGTGCTACGTCTTTCACTTCCATCATATAGCATGGAGAGTAACATAATATGAGCAAAAAGTTATAAAAATAAAAGGTCATCACAAGAGAAAACTGCAGTGGAATAAAAGGGGGCAGTAGTCGCAATGTTTAATATTACGAGAAACAAATGTTGTGCGTAAAGAAACTAAATAAAATAATCAACAAAAAATAAAATAATTCAAGAAAAAAATTATTCAAATGTCCATCATTTCAACAGTTTCACAACATATCGACATACATGAACAAGAGCCTTCACTGGGACATTTTTCCACTCTGAAATACATAGGCCAATTTAGTTTCCACAGGGAAATTCTATCAACATTCACAGAGCTCACACTCGTCACAATACACATTGGAAATATTTAATTGGAATCATCTGTGTATATTATTATATAGCGATGGTTCTTGAGTAATATGAAACAAGTATGACCAAACAAAATACAAGTACAAGTACACACAAAAAAACCCACAGTCAATTTGTCATTTTTTAGTACTCGCAGGACAAATAACTAGATTGAGCATATTACATCCTGACCATTACACCACATGCTGATACAGAAGAGAGTTTATGAGCCGATATTAAAGAAAACTGACAATAAAAATAAACCAAACTGCGCAGGTGGGTTAATGAAGCACACAATAAGGTATGCATTCAGAACTGTTGGGGAAACACAAAGGAGGTAGAAAAATTGCAAACAGCAACACAATACCACCAGCAGCAAACTAAACTTGAGCAATACACAAAAGGTATGTTGGAGTTGAAAGAATTAGGCTTTCTTTGGGGCAAATCATAACAAAAATAAAAAAACAGCTCTATACCCAAGTTTTAACACCTGATCAGGTTAGCTATATTATGCAGAACCTTTTGAAGAGACTAGTATATATACCCTCATCAACACTTTTAGACGTTCAAGTCACAGATTGCTTTGACCCTGCTTGTCAGGATCCAATCCAGAATGAGATACTGTACCCGAGCTGACAAACCGAAACACTCAATAAAAAAACTTCTCCACTCCAGATTTGAACTCGCCTTTTCTACATACAACAGCTAAAAGGGCCTACTTAAGAACCATTACAACGCACACACCAGCATCACAACAGTGATAGCATCAACAAAGACAGGATCACAACTTATGATAGAAAAGTTTGTACAATAACACTGTAGCTGCTTTATGCCCCCATCGACACTATTTAGATTATTTAGGAGGCGGGCTTCTTCAACCATGCTTATCAGGGCCAATTCAAGCCGAGAGGGAAACAATGTCTCAGCAGACAGACAAAGATACTCGAATAAAAACAACTCTCCCCACAAGGGAATTGAACTACCGTCTTCTGCGTGCGATGGTGAGCTGCCCTCCAACCCCCCACTCTGGAGAACTGGCGCCATAAAATGTGATACTGCACAGCTACATTCAGGTAAAAGTGAAAATGTTAAGAAATACAAGACTAGAGAATATGAAAGCCTTGAGGGATAGATTTTATAACTAAACGGAAAAAGAACAACAGGAAGTGACAACCAATCAGGAAAAAATCAATTCAAAGAAAATCATGCCGCAAGCAAAATAACAGAGAGAAAACAATGGAATAGAATGGGACATCACAGTTTAGCTGGAAACAGTCACATCATCAAGCATATTGTCAAAACAATCAAAGCAAAAGCCAAAACAAATTCTATTCGAAGTTGAGAAGAAGTACTAGAGCACTGATGTTAATGGTAACTGCCATTACTTCAAATATTTCCTGCAAGTGAAATAGGTTAGCATTATAAGGTAAAGGTCTGATGCCTGTTTCAAAACTGAAAGTTTACACTGCTTAAGTAAAGGAGTGGGACCTCTTAATTCATGCCCGTCCCAAATAAGACCAAGCTTAAAAGGAAGAGACCCGTTAAAATTCCATAAACAACACCAACTTCAAGAAATCGTCACTGGCAATGCTTCAAAGTAGGGTCGTCTTCATGACAGCCTAGACTGAAATCAGCTAAGCTTACGGTGCAGTCCATGATAGAAGCGCCAGACACAAACTAATAAAAAATGTACCATAAAAAACAACAATGGTAAGTAGTATACAAGGTCGTTCAAATCTTTTCAAAGGACTCACAGAAACAGAAATCACAAGAGTTCATAACATTTTAAAAAAACAATAATTGTAACCGTTTTCTGCTCGCATCCACAAAATTTATAAGGTAAAGGCATTGGGCTGCATCAACCTTGCATGTTCAGGGCAAACTTGGGCTTAGAGGGGTATATATGTATATATACATATTATATATATCAAGCTTCCTTACAGGGAGAGATAACAAATAAAAACAAAACAACCCCCCCCCCCCCACTTAAATTTCGTTGTTTCAAGACATTTCATGGCAAAAATTTTACAAACCCGATAAAAACATAGTAAGTATGAAGGTTGCTGTCTGACTAGATTCATTTTCCAGCATGCTTCTGTAAGGCAATTCGCATGGCTGCTATGCTGTAGTCAACATCCTCTTTGCTGATGCACATGGGGGGTTTGATCCGCAAGCACTGGAAAAGCAAAAAAGAAGAGCTCATTAAAGATGAAAAAAATCATTTATTGTAGATGCTTTACCCTTCCTATCACCCATCCACACATTTATCTGATTCCATCGATGATTTTTTCAGGCTCTAGACTATTTAATGCATTATTGTGAGCTCTAAGTTACTCTAATACGTATTGTCATATACCAAACTGATGGGAATCAATAGAGGAATCTGTTTATATCAATAACAATGACCTATAATCTGTTAGTATTGTATTTTCCCTCTGACAAAAAGGAAAGAGGGAAAACAATTGTACAACACCTCTAAAAAAATTTCAACTTTACCACATTTTCTCAGCTCTACAAGTCCTTATAATCCACAGGAATAAAAAAAAATTGTAGCAATATCACCCTACCACACATTTATGCAAGAATTTCACAAATTTAGTTGTATATCTTCCTTTGAAGGGTCTTTGTATCATACAAGGCTCTGTGCTATTTACCCGTAGATCTAGCCTACACAGCGACAACAAAAAAAACGATTTTTGCAAGAAATTCGCGGAGTTTCGATCGATATTGGACATCAGAGATTCAGGTCAGGCTAGTTTACAAGCTCTACTTCCTTTCGACAACTTAAAAAGTAGGAACTATGTTAAAAAGTGCACATTTGTTTCGGATTTCACTTGGATTTCGTTGATCCGCTAACAGCGGCCGAATGGACAGAATCAGTTAAAGCAGAGGTACAATACGGCTACGAAAAAAAAAATCCTAAGCTTTTCGGACCTCGTAGCAATGCACGCGCCTGGACTAAACATTTACAGATCATATCCCCTCATACATCTTCTATCACAACTACTTTCATACAACGCCAAATATGAAATGCATAAAGAGATTAAAACGTAAATAAGTGTATAAGCAGGAACGATCAACCTGAAGTTGGGTCAAATCCAATTTAAGAAATTGAGATTTCAGAATTTATCTGGAAAATTGGAACCGTTGTTATAGATCACTTAGGAGGTAGGCTACCTCCATTCTATTAGGCTCAACCCACGATAGAGGGTTAGAGATACTCAAAGAAATCTTCCCCTCTAAGGAACTGAACTCGCATGTTCTGTGTGAAATGACAAACAGTTTAATCACTTCACACAAATTATGCTGGGCAGGTAAAAAATTAAAGAGTTAAAAGTGAGAAAAACAGTGAAATGAGGGTTGCGTTGAAGTGGTTTCTTATTTCGCTTACAAGACAAGACCATATACCTAATTTTTTACACCCTGCTCCATTGTTTTAATATGGCCGAGTGTTTTTGTGGCACCAGTTACATCATAATATAGCACCCATTGCCAGGAGTCAGAAATCAAAGAAAAAGTCTTAAATTCGAACATGGCTTTGTTCAGTCAAACTTCTACAAAAGGGTCAAACTGAATGTTACAAATGTGAACTAAAGCTGGCCTTCGCCTCATTCGCCTATACACTACACATGTAGAGCTGATGGCTGTTTTTTAAAGCATGGCTTAACATTATGCAATACCATGAAGCCAGTCACTGCATTCTTATTACGTTTATCAATGTGGCCTAATAGTAATGAGTGAACATAAGTTTTTTAAAACTTTTTTCTCAAACGCTGTTCCAGTAGTACTTAGCCTCCTTCCTTGTAGAATTAACCCCTTCAATTGTGAAGCGCTCAGAGCCCATGAACTTTAATTAGAGTTGAAAGCTATACAAATGCCATATACTATTATTATTATTATTATTATTATTATTATTAAATCACATCAGGGATGTGTGACCAACATAAAAACTTACGTTTCCAAACAAGCCACCTTTTCCAATGAGGACACCCATGTTCTTTGTATCCTCCCAAATACTGGTCACCTCCTCTGCTGCCAGTGGGGTGCGGGACTCCTGAAATGTATCCAAACATAAAATGTTTGTTCATTTATTGGAGAAAAGAGAATTAAATCGACACAACAACAGTAACTTGGTTAGCATTTGAATTTGAGTAAAGAGATGCAGAATAACACTACAATCGTCATTCGGTTAATTTTAGTAGAAGTTTTACCGCATTTTCAACACAGTAAGGACATATAAGTTTCGAAGAGTAGAGGAGTAACAAGAGAGTAGCAAACACAAAAAAGATGGAGGAGAGATAAAGACAATATAAATGTTTAATAGGAAAGAAGGACAAATCACAACAGAGCACCCGTCAACCACACACAATCATCATTTAGCGCAGGGAAAAATACAAGACAAACAGACACAATACAGGAAATCAACAAAAGCAGGGCTGACCAGTGGTGCCCTCCAACCACCCATAGACATAAAATTACAATGTGAAGGCCTGAATTAACCAAAACAATGTAGTCCATGTGTCCAATGCAAAGAGAAAGGTTTGAAAACTTGTTTTAAAGGGAGACTATAAAAAACACATAACAGCATATTTGGCCACTATGTTTTTATTATAATGGCCTTGAATATCTTGCTCTCCCTGAAAAAAATATAAGGCAAGAAAGGCAAGGGTAGACAAAGAAAAATTTACTTTAAAGAACTTGAATAGATAGGTGAAGAGAAAGACCAGGATAAAATTAGTGTTTTGATAGCATCCGAGGAGAGAAGTGACAAACTATGATTGTCGATGTCTGTTTCAGACTTGGCACTTGACAACGATGATGAAATTACAAGAGTAAATCCGAGATAATACGTTTACAGGTGTAGATGGTTATTTTGAGGAATCAATAAAAACAGACCTTGAATTTTCTTTCCGAAATCAACTTAAGCTCTATGTAATATGGATCTATGAACCATTTTAAAATCTTGCCTTAAAAATTTCTGTTCGTATACTTTTCCATGCATACGCTCACTGTGAGGAAGAGTAAAAGCAGTGAACACTGAGACCAGAGCTCAGGTCCATGAGTAAAGAGAAGCACACTGACACAATAACTGCTATGTGGTGTACAGAACAAGGAAGCCAGACAGACAGGAACAATAGAAGGAAAACAGAAATAGGACCTTCGAGTGACACCCTCCAACCACCCGCAGTTCACAGGGTTACGAGTAAAGAGTGAAAAAGCAGGGATGGAAACTGATCAATCAAAAATTTACTGAACTTTTCGCAGGCTATACAGATTTGGAAAAATACACTTATTTAATTGTCGATTAGTACACATAGTAGAATGACTCAACATTGAAAATAGGTAGACAGGCATCAGGGAAGGGAGGATGATATGTTTGGTCGTGTTACTGCTACTGCTGCAGCCTCTTTTGAACTGGTGCCCCATCAAGGCCCTCCTCTCCCACTAACAGAAAATGACAGAGCAAATCAAAATTACGGATTTCCGTAAATTTACGGAAAATTTCAGGAGAAAAGCACTCACTTTGTCTTTGACCAGCTCCACACCAATCATGAGGCCTTTCCCACGTACGTCTCCGACCACTTCAAACTCTGACCTCAGTTTCTGCAGCTCCTCAATGAAGTACGTTCCAATGTTCGCACTCAAAGCCTGAGTCTTTTCTTCATCAATCACCTGGAAAGTGTATGTAATTGTGTTTTATGTCTACTTCGACACAATTTTGATAATTTAGGAGACAAGTGTAAAAGCATAAAAACATGGACAGGCCTGGATATGGCAGAATGTGCAACAGCAGCTCTAAATCGTGAAGAATGGAGGGTCATTACATGTCAACCTCTTATGACAACTCCAGGTATCCAAGAGACAAGCTGCTTTGACCCTGTCTACCAGGACCAACCATAGCAGTGAGCAATACAGCAACCCAGTAAGCCAACTGAGATACTTGATGAATAAATAAATGTCCCACTCAAGAATCAAACTCGTGTCCTTTGTGTACAACGCTGAAGAGCCTAACCATCACACCGCAAAACACCAGTGATCAACTGGTATCGGGCCCACAAACAGACTATGCTACATGATCTTTGTTGGATTTTTGCTTTGTTTGTTTGGGTAAAAAGAAGCACATCAACGCAATAAGTCATTTGTGAGGCATTTGAGGTGAAATCAGACCTTCGTCAAAGTAATAAATTTTTTTTTTTTTAAAGAGACATTTTCTGCCAATTTGGCAATTTTATCGAATATTTGTTTTTTGATCAACACCTTTTATATCCATTCAAAAACACATTGCTGTGACGATTTTACAGAAAAATGTCGATTAAAACACAAAAAATGTATGTTTTCAGTTTCCAAGGAATCTCCAGCTGTATACATCATCCATCTTTGCTGCCATTTTCTCTCTAATTTTACCTCTGTAATCAGGCAACCCCTACCTCCGTCAATCGCAAATATCCCAACTTCTGTTTAAGATAAATGAGTATTTATTTCATCAAAAGCAAGGCAAATTAACAAGCTTTAACTCTTTATCTCCATGGGTGCAAAAAATTGTGTAACCCACTATGCCAGGGCCCTGTTTTGGTACAAAATCTAAAAATTGACATACATGTCACTAAACTGGTAATTAACACTTTGCAGTCACACAGCCAGCAGTACAAAATACTCAATCTGGTCACCCAGCCAAGAGAGTGACTGCAATGGAATTCTCGGGCCTGGCGCTTATCACTGTCGCATTATTGTGCCAAGTGACAGCAAAGTGTTAAGTTAAAAAGTGAACCCATTTCAGTAGTTCTTAATCTAATGAATGATCTCTTGGTAAAATAAATCTGTTTTCGGTAATTGCTGAAAAGTAATTTGATGTCAAAGTCATTGTAAAGGAATGTGCCCAAGCCGCTATCAGAGGCTCACTGGCACTTCGATCCCAACCATGAGCCAACTCCATGTGCCCTAGGACTGACGAGCGCCTAATTTCACCTCATTGTGACACATATGTTGGCATGTTCACGGAGAAAAAGTTTGTACTCACATCCAGCACAGCTGAGCCTACAGCACAGGCCACAGGGTTGCCACCGAACGTGTTAAAGTGGAGAGCACTGCTGAGGGTGGCGGCAATCTCTGGGGTAGTCACTACAGCACCCATAGGGTATCCGTTACCCATGCCCTTGGCCATCGTCACTGAGCAAAAGTTTCAGTAAGAGTTTTACTGTACTTGCAATACAAACGAGTCATGTAAGTGTAGAAGATATAAGGTGTTACCAGACAGTAACATACAGATAAAGGAAGGAGGAGAGATAAAGACGAAAGATATTTGATAGGAAAGAAGAAACAAAACACACTAGAGCCCCACTAACCTCCCACTTGTGAGAGTTTTACGACACTTGGAATACAAACAGGTCCCGTAAGTACTAAAGATTTGAGGTGTAACTGAAGAGAAACATACACAGATAAGAAGGAAGAAAGATCTGAATGATATATGTCTGATAGGAAAGAACGAGTAAACCACTCCAGAGCACCAGCTAACCACCTTTGTAATTTGAGACAAAGGAGGCTTACATTCATTCTCAAGCAGTGAAAATATAGTTTTAAGATTAGAAGCACAAAAAAAAGTAAATTTACAGTTTCTAAGGACTCTCAAGCTTTGGAAGTCACCAAACTTCGACGGCCATTTTTTCGCTAATTTTATCTCAGGAATCAGGTGACCCCCTGCTCCTTCATTCCAAAATATCTTGACTTCTGATGGGTAATCCTTTTATCGAAAGCAAAAAAAAAGAACAAGCATTAAGATGACACCAATAACTTTGTAGACCCAAATATTGACGAGCGCTTGATTCCACACCGTAGGGTCACATATTGATGTTGGATAGGAAAGGAGGAGCAAATGACAACAAAGCACCCTCCAACCATTCACAAAGAATGTAAACAGGGAAGAGTAAATAAGTTACCCCAGAAAAGAACACTAAAAAAAAAGACCAACAAATACAAAAACAGAACTTACCTATGTCTGGCATGACATCCTGGCTCTCGAACCCCCAGTAATGAGATCCCAGCCGGCCAAAACCTGTCTGAACCTGGTAAGAGAGCAAAAGAAAGGAATGAAAAGCAAATTCTCTCACCAGAAACCGCTGCACCTAAATGTTGAACAATTTCCTAATTGCAAGAGGGTGCCACAAGTTGGTTGTGAACCTCTTTCCTTTCCGCATGACCTTTTTGGCTATCTTTTTTTCCAGCATTAAATGACCGTAATTTTATTGTTGTGCACACCTTTACTCAAAAAGAAACAAATCTAATACACCCACATCATCCTTTACTTTATGGTCAAATCCCTTACAATAATTATCCCTTTTACCCTCGGTCTCAAAGTCCAGGCCAACAGCAATGTCCAACGATTAGCATTTTGAAAAAAATGTTACACATGCAACACCATACATGAAAGTACATGTGCTGTGTATCTACTAAGAACATGTTACGGGTAAAACAGTAGCCATTTACACGAACAAGAAAATGTCCTATTGATATCAGATGATGAAAAGTCAAAAGTAATCAGTTAGGTGGTCAAGTGGCTTCACTCAAGAGTCTCACATGAAAACAAAATGTTCAAGCCCATAGGAGTCAGACTGAAGATAATTAAAAATCTGGATTTTTTAAATTCTGTTTTTAAGCATACTAATTACATAGGCCTATTATGCTATCCGAATGTCTTTCTCCTCGAAATAAACCCCAAACAAAACAATGATAACATAAAAATAGGAAAACCAAGCAGAAAACGTACAATTCAAAAGCTGAAAGATCAGAAACTGCATTAAATGTCATGGTGACGTTAAAAAAGTGTTGACTTTGACTTTGATTTCAAACTTTGCAAACAAATCAAACCCAAGACTAGGAGTCGTTGACTGGCATAGACTTGTTAAGAGCATTATGGTACATCATCGCACTCTGACCTTATCCCAGTTCTCTATGGTGCGCACCATTCGACTCAAATTGGAACAAAATTAGGGTAATGTAGAAAGGTTTACGCATATTCTCGGCTAAAACGAGACTGGGAGACTGGTGTCACGTGTGAAATATAAGGATTATTTCACTGAAAGTGTAATGCCATAACATCTCCATGTATGGAATAAAGATCTATAATGTATTCATACCTTTTACATATAACAGTGAGTAGGAGAGAAGAGAAGAGAAGAGAGTGAGTATGATTTTAAGGAAGTAGGGAGTGAGAGAGACATGTGTCAGTCGGACCTGTGTAAGATGACCACCCACTGTTGAGTAGAAAAGTGGCCATCTAAGAAAGGTGGCCGTATCAAGCAGAACGAATGAAAATGAAGAAAACAAACCATTCTGAAGTACCAACCAGAAGTAATTACAGATTTAGGACTGCCGTAAGGCTACTGAGTAATTTGGAGTAATTTAACATTACCTTCCAAGTTCCCAACTGCAGTTGGTTGCAGGCTCAGACATGGGTTGCATTTCTACATTGATGCCGTCAACGGCTGGATTTATCTGAATGTGTGGAACATTTTTTACGTCTCGCGACTGCTGTAATAAGTGTTAAATTCTACAAAGTGTGTCAAATGATGTACTCCGGTACTTGTACTTAGGTTACAATTTTCGGTACTTTTACTGTACTCTGGTACATTTTTGAGAACCAGTACTTTACTTTTACTCTACTCGGATACTTTTCATTTAAGTACTTATGAGTATTTTAAAGTATATTTTGAGTACTTTTGAAGCTTAAAGAAAGTGTAGCTGCTGACATTTCTTATCTTAATTTACGGAGCATACACCCGAGCGGACACATCCGATCAACCAAGAGTTAAAAGTTGAGATCAATAAACTGCCCGTTGCGTCAAAGATCAGCCACTCTCGTGAATGTGATCACAAGGGTGGTAAAACTCAATAAAATGGCGCAATATTTGCCCCAGACGGGATCACTCCGAGTTGTGAACTGACCGATGCCTTTCTTTCACCAAACATCACACTCGCATCTGAGCTCTCCACCTAAACTTACATCACTCGCTGGATGGGTAGGGCCTACAAGTTCGCTCTAGGCGGGATCACATCCAACTGTGAACTCTTCCCTGATCATTGAAGGCAGTTTTTCTCTATTCCCGAATTTGCGAGATGGACTGAATTTCAATTGGTGTGGTCACAACGCAATGGTGCATAACGACAAAGGCGGGGGGACTCAATCAGAGATGGAAAGCTAACATTTTTGGACAGGCAAAGGGGAGGGGCAACTGGATAAATGTAGATCAAGATCTCGAGACTCATGATAGGATAATAACTGTATGGGCACGCCTCAGGCCACTGTGATTGATCATCAAGGTTGACCACTCTTTGCTTGCCATGTGTCATAAACCCACCTAGGGGTCACGTCAGTTCATGAGTCACTGTAGATTCCACCTTGGCTTCGTCGGCTAAGATCCCGTATTTTCCTCGCTCATGAGCACCGGGATCTTAGGCGGAGACTACTGTAGTATAGAATCTTTGGTTTACACTACACTTAAGACTCTATGAAACTACATTATACATGAATTTTGCTTAACCGTGGGCGCCGTGGACTACACAGTGTGACTAAAATCTGTCTTACCACAAAAATCAATTGAAGTGGAACTGAAACGGAGTTCTCAATATATATCTAACAATTTTTTAGGCTACCTAAATTTCTTTTGAGGATTTGTTAATGAAGAATTTAATGCACTTTTCCCATTTCTTTGATGGCCATTTTCATCATTTTATGCTTTCTTAAGAGCAACTTTCTCTCTACATTTTCCAATTTGGATACTTTCCCTGTAGAACTTTCCGACCTCTTGGACTGATTTACATTTTATCACATAATTGGCTTGCTCAAGCAGGTTCTATTCATAATATCACTTACTCACTAATTGCGTCTGTTTGTTTGGGGTTTATTTCAATTTCATGGACCATTTCCACCTATGTTCAGTGCGTATATGCAAATGCTTTGTCTTATAGAGGTGGCCGTAATGGCAGGTTCAACTGTATATATATATATTGCGCAGCAGGTGGTGAAATCAAACGCACGTCAAAATAACGAAATCGGAGAAACAGGCATTTTTCCGCCAGTTTAGAAATTTGTATCGAATTTTTATTTTTTGCCTTAACCTCTTTTATGTCCATATAATAAAAACACATTCCCATGTGCATTTTACTTTTTTTAAAACATTGATTAAAGGCACAAAATATGTCATTTTTCAGTTTTCAAAGACTGTTTAGCTATTGGAGTTACCAAACATTGGCAGCAATTTTCTCGCTAATTTCACCATTGAAACCAGGCGACCTCGCTTCCTTCAATCGCAAATATCTTGAGTTCTAGATCTATTCAATATTATTTCATTAGAAGCAAGGCAAATAAATCGACGATACCACTAATTTCACATGCCCAAAAATTGACAAGCGCCAGATTCCACTGTGTCATATGAGAGAGAGAGAGAGAGAGAGAGAGAGAGAGAGAGAGAGAGAGAGAGAGAGAGAGAGAGAGAGAGAGAGAGAGAGAGAGAGAGAGTAATCTACCTCGTCAGAGATACAGACACCTCCATGGGCCCTGATTTTCTCGTAGGCCTTCTTCAAGTACCCATCAGGAAGCTGGACAGCTCCGCCCACACCCTGGAGGAAAATAAAGGCAGAATATCAGAATTAAAAAATGAAAGCCAAACAAAATGAAAATCTTGCTGGTTACTGTAAATAGTTTACGTCCCTGCAGACAAAATCTTAATCATTTTGGAAATGGGCTGCTTTGGCCCTGCCTGTTTGGACAAATGCCGCGAACAACGTCCAAGGAGAGAAATGGAGACACACAATTTTTATTTTAAAAAACCCTCCCCACTCAGGAAATAAAATAACCTCATTTGCATGCAACGCCAAAGAGCCTAACCATTACAACACAGATTACAGTTATATTTCAGCACGCTGTAGTCTTCTTATTGAATATAAATCTATACAGAGCTTTCTTCGTTCTACCTTTATAACTATTTCCAACAACCATAGGCCTGGAATACCAGAAAAGGTCATCAAATCCTTAGCTCGTATATGCAAATCAAAGCAAAAAGCCACATCTCAAAATTTCTCATGCACTACAGCAAAAAAAAACTCTCATGCCATATCTGTTGCATAAGACATACGATTATGTATAGTAGCAACACGACAAAATGAGCCACATCTGGCATCTTGACAAGAATAATATTCAATTACAATAATAATAATTGCATTTATATAGTGCATATTCACCCTTTATTGCATGCTCTACGCACTTTACAGTTTTTATTACCACAGCAGACCCTACACCACTCCAAAAAATTCTCAGCTTCCCAGGCTGCCTACAGTGCAAACACCACATTCCATGTGCTCAAACACTAACAAACTGACAATATCATTCTCCTTGCCTCTTGCTGGGTACCAACCTCCCACCAGGGTGAAAATGAGGGACATCCATGTAAAGTGCCTTTCCCAAGAACACGATGTCAGGCCCGCCCTGACAGAATTTCAACCCATGACCAAATGGTTGAGAGTCTGAGAGCCAAACCATCAGACCACTGACGCAATGATGGGCATCAAAGTAAAGACCAATTCAAGTCCTACATGTATACAAGGGTGAAAACAATATCAATTTGACTCCTTGCACTCTAAACAACCACATGGTTTTGTTGTTTTTCTTCAAATCAACATTTTCCCCAATATCTCAAAACATACAAGTGTGACAAGCAGCTCATTTCATTGCATTGTGGCATATATTGATTGCTATGTGCTATGTGTAAGACTCTCGTCATTGTACGTCACTTTTCAAAATGGCATATGGCAGAGTCTTAAACTATGCAGTCAATACGGAATCTACAAGGGAAGAAAAGGACAGCAGTCACAGAAAGAAAATTGGGGACAACAGACTTTCTTTCCAGGACTCTTAGAGACTAGTGACATTATTTAACTTTACAGCTGCTCCTGATGTGTCAGTAGTGTGTTACTACTGCTCTTTTGATAAAAATTATTTTGAAGGACAAAATTTAACAAGCTAAACAATTGATCGAGATAAAGCGGAAAATTTTAAGACTGCTACCATTTCCCCCAGTAGTTTTTATGAGCAATGTTATTTTCTTTAATTCACTTCATATGGCACACTCTGTCCTATTTACTTATTGTTGTGAAAGTCAATCATCCACTTTTTTCAACCTAGAGCTGTGGTAACGACAGTCAATTATCCACACACAAGTTCTCCATTACCTGAATGACCTCAGCAATGAAAGCTCCAACTCGACCTTTGGGCATAGAGTACCTCATGACATCCTCCAACTGGTCGACGTACATGTCACACGCTTGGCACTCACCCTCTGCACAGTCACATGCTCTGCCCGGCTGGGGTGGGGTGGGAAAAACAATGGTTCGTTAGTTTGTTAGTTAGAGCATTTGTTTAATGACGCTATCAACAGAATTATTTGGACACATCATAATCTGATTCAGTTAACTGAACACTCTGTAATTATTGATTTTCGGATTAGAGTGTTTGTTTAATGATGCTATCAAAACAATTATTTGGACACACAATCAAATCCAATTAGCCTGAACACACTGTAAGAACTGCTTAGAAGCATCAGAAATTCAACCATTTCATTCTCACACCCCATAGAAATGCTTTTCAAGCCCATCCCTCTCTTGGTAAGGCATGACAGTTGAAAGGTATTGAGTTCAATCCACAAACAAAAATCACAAACAAGACAGAAACTATTGTTAATTTATTTGTGTAAAGAGAGCCACATCAGAACAGAAACAGTCACTTCACGCTGAGAAAAAACAAGACAGACAGGAAGAAGAGACAGAAGAAATAGGAAAAGATGAAAAGAAGTAGGACCTGCCAGTGGTGGCACCCTCCAGCAACCTTGTGAGGAAGGTAGCTAAAGGGAGACAGCCATAAATAAAAGAGTCAGACTACATGTATTACAACACAGACCATTTCTCTTCGACATACATTAGGATATGAAAATTAACTGATTCAGCCCGCAGTGCCGTTCACAGTGGTTTTCACTGTCTCCTTCGTTTTGACGCAGAGCTGCTCAGAGCAGATCACTTTTCTCTCTTCATTTTTTTCTTACCACTTACATTTCAACTCTTTTTATTTGGTGTCAATGAATAGTTTTTATTATTTGGAACATCTATATGTCACAAATATGGGTTTTATCAAATTTAGATATTTCTTTATTAACTTTTTGTGAGACAACCCGTGAGGTCACCAGCGGTCACAAATTTTTTTGCATCCAGAGTCAATATTATCTGCAGGCGGAATATGACCATGCTTGTAAACCTGACAGACCAGAGCACAGACTTGAGTGCGACTACCTTCTCCTTTCTCAGCAGTGAATGCATGCATCAGAGTATGGTGGTTTTTAATCAAGCAGTCGACAAACAGGAGCTTAGAACTTAGGGTGTACAGGTCCTACAGGCTCAGGCATGAAAGTGTTTATGTATGTGTGGTTGGGGGGAGCGGCCTAAAAGGGTTAATAAAGATAAGGCCTGTCCTATTCATGACTTTGAATAGAGATGAGTTTACCTTTTTAGTACCATAAGAAACTTACTTTACAGATAGCAATTGAGCCAAATGACTAGACCATGGTAACCCAGCCCAGACACAAACCATAAATATCTCAACAAGGAAAAAACAAGGGTACGGGGAGGGAGCGTGAAGGAAATTGAGACGAGTGCCAAGCAGTAAGTTAGACACAAAATGATCAGCAACAGAGGCTCTGATTCAAGTCACAGCCACCACTGCATCTCCAAAATATAAATGTATAAATGTACTCACCGCCCTGCCCCCCCCCCCCCTTCAGGATCCCATCCAAAACACAAAACTGTTCCCAGCCCCCTCCTCCTCCTCCTCCCCCGCCCACCGTACACACACAGATAACAAATATAACAAATATAAACACTGCATGCCCCTCCCCCCCCCCCCACACCAACAAACACACACACTCACAGACCCTCTTCTTGCTCAGACAAATACACAGCACTTTCAAAATTTTGAGTAAGAGTAAAGAAGAGAAAAATGGACAGAAACTACACAATGATAGCATAGAGGCAAAACCAACAACAGCGCCCTCCAATCCCACATGTTGCACACGCATCCAACCCTCGATATCAATTTTTTAAAGTTTGAGGTTTAAGTACAAAAAAGAAGCACACAGACCACCATAATTTAATTCAAGGTAAAAAAAAGTAAGATAGACAGAAACAGACACGAAGAAAAAAAAAACAATGCTTATTAATGGCAACTACAGCCCATGCCCATTTAAAAACCACCCAATAAAGAACCAACAGTCTTAAAATGAGTTAATTTTATGAGCAGATGAACAGGCGGGCAACCCATCGACTTGCTCATAAAACATGGAGGAAAAAAAGTTACACAGCTGCCAGCCCTGGCAATATCAAGGGGAAGTGTTCAAAACAACAAGTGGAGCCAACCGACTACACAAAGGGTTGGCACTCGACAGCAATAAAGACTGGGTACACAGGTGTCACTCCTTCATAATTTACAGGGCTAAAGTATACGGATTTGGTTTATGACTGCAAATTAGTCATTTTACCCTTACAATCCTAGCTGGGTATATTTCCCTCAGAAGTTCTTATTTCCCCCTGGCTGACTTGCTGATAATTTCCACGCAGGGTAGTAGCCACCTCAAACCCAGTCACGAGTTTGTACTGTAATTTATCCAATTATCTCTGAAAAATATTCGACATGTTGTCTTCTAAAACTTCAAACAAAAGAGGGATAAATATATGTTCAAGGCCACTCACTACTTCTTGGCATCAAAATCTACAAATGAGAGATTTTATCTTGTTGTTTTTTTTCTTTTTCTCACAGTTTTCTATTCAAGGATAAAAAATATTCTGTTTTGGGAATCATTATTAGTTACATAACCATACATATTGCAAATTAAGCATAACCAGGCTATCTGAAGGAGCATTTTCACAAGCTAAAAACTAAAAAACTATCCATGCTATCTATAAAGGGATTACAAAATTTTAATCAGCACACAAATCTCAAGAAAGTGACGGTAGCTTCCCTTAAAGGTGTGAACATTGATAATATTTTTTTTTAAAGAAATCTTGTATGTTTTCCCCAATGATGGAAATAGTCAAAATAGCAAGGTAAAAATATCATTTAGAAATAGTATTACTAATATAAGAAAAAGTCAAGGGCTCCAGCATTACTTGGGCCAGGGGGGGAATGAGGGTTGTAGTCTTCTTACATACCTGAGCCGGAGAGTCACGGCAATGCTTGCCCCCCCACGGCCCACGGTAGGGGTCAGGGTTCATGGCGTTCTGGAAACCGAAACCTGTGGGGCTGTTGTAACGCCAGGTGGATAGAGCCGTGACGCCCATCAAGTATGGACTAGCTCCATGATAGCCGTTTCTGGAACAAACAAATTGTTCATTTTTATGTCATTACCTGTCATTTCACAGTGGTTCTTGGTGCAAAAACCAAGCTTCATGAAACGCCTCGCTATAGTAGCTCACTAATGACAACAGTTCAGACACAGTACAGCCCTAGTACAGGAGGGAGTCGTCTCAATAAAATAAAAAAACCAATGGTACATCATAAATTCTTCCATAAGTTAATAAGTTATTTAAATTGAATTTTCTCCTAAACCTCCATGTTAGAATTTAGACATGTTCATTTCAAATTATTTATTGAGTTGGACAAAAGATAAACACATCAACACAATAATGGTTATTCAGTGTTGGTTTACAGCAAGCAAGTGTCAAAAGAACCTTACCAGCTGAATCTGGCACAAGCCGCTCAGTGGGAAAGTGAAAAACGTTTAATACTGTTTTCTTGTCACTTTGAAAACTCCTGGTGTTGTGAAAAACTTTTTTCGTTACAAACTATGTTTAATTTAATTGCTAAATTATCAATGCATGCATATATTTATAATATGTACTTATGTGTGTATGTATGTTAGTAACTGTAAAGCAAAATTACCAAAGGGAATCAATAAGAGTGGAATTCCCCTCTTTTATCTTACTCATTTATCTAATTTTATTTTTTTCAAACCTTTATAAATAATATGTGTAAGTTTCAGAAGTTAATAAATAAGTCTGTGTTACCTCAACGATATGCAGTCGTAGACACCCGTGTACATACGGGCCATGAGTATAGCCAAGTCATTCGCCTCAGAGCCAGAATTGGTGATATATACGACCTAGAACAGACAGAAAGAAAATAACATAGAAATGTCCTCCGCTTCTCTCCGGACACATGAACACCCAGTAGGTATTTGTGATTGTACTACAGTATAACACAGACAGCTCGAATTTGTCGGCACAGGCCTCCGTGGTTCGAGGGATCCATAGTTTGAGGGATATCTTACAAAGATAAAAGAAGAAGAAAAAATGGGACCGCAGGCGCAGTTCGACAGATGCATGATTTTGAGTCTTCTGTGTTCAACCTATCCATGTATTTTCTATTGATTTGAATCTTCTCGCGATACTGTGCCTCTGTTGTAGTTACTGCTGTGTTGTGGAGGAATTTTGCTGCTTTCTATGTTGTTCTCATTTTTGGGTGTTTTTTTTTTGTTAAAATTTAAGCGACTGGACTTGAAAAGTTAACATTTCCATTCCCACACTTCCCTTCCATCACAAAGCAGTAAATACACAGGGAACATTTCATTTGCCAGCTGTTCAGATGTACTAAGGCCAAACATTTTGAAAATATATTTATGGCATTTGATCAATCTGTTATACTGATTGCACATGCCAGGGAAATGTAAGGTCAAAGTTCAAATTCTAAACGATGAAAAAAACAACAGCAAGAAAAGATACATAATGTAGGCACAATTTTTGAAAGAATGAAACAGTTTTTTTCTCTCTCCTGAGAAGTGTTGCTTCCTGGGCTTAGAATAGTTGAACAGCTTGCAGAATATTTGCTTGTTAAAACACTGATGACATCATCTGAACATTTCACAAGTTGACATTAAATGGGTTCTACAAAACAATAACTGTCAGGTCACTCACACAAAAGCAGAGAGGTATGGTTTTCATGACAGAAGATCAGACTTTCCACAGACCATCTAGGGACAGGAAATTTAGCACAGATTATTCTTTCTTGTATGCATAACCTTCTGTAACAGCAACCTCTTCCTTTTACACTAACGTTTTTTGCCCTAGATTGTCTGAAAAAAAGTTTTTGAAGATTCAAAAACAATGTAAACAAAGAGAATGGCCTATAATTTTATTGTTCATTCATCCCTCCTCTCTTCTTTATCTCCTCACAACACCTACTCTCAACAAAAAATACACAACAAAGAGCATAGAAGCTCAATAAACAACTTCTCAGCAACAGCTGCCTTTCTTGAAGTCTCCCGTCTGAGGGGTAAAAGTCTTGGTCACTGGTCGTAACATTACCACCCAGCAATCGAGCATTGCTTCATTTGAAAGCTGATCCTGCCTATTTTGTCACTTTCAAACATAAAATCGCCACATCCTGCAATTTGGACTCATCCATGCGCTCATGTGCGTCCATATGTGTATGTCTGAAGAGGTGAATGAGTGAGTGGAAAAATCACATGGCCTATCAGAAAAAAACCATCAAACTGGGGGTTGCTCCTTTTAAATAATCATGCAGTGTCGAAAGATTTTTTTAATTTTTTTTTGGGGGGGGGGGGGGTTGTTTGGATTTTTGGGGGGGGGGGGGGGGGAACACATAAAAAATAATATAACAATCAATAGGAGCAAAGAAAGATGGAAGCAGACAGACAGGAACAAAACAATGTGAGGAAAGAAAAGAAACGGAACTATCAGTTGTTTCCTCCAACCACTCACTGAGGGGAGAGACATTTGAACCCTCATCAGACCAGAAGCTGTTACTTTACATTACCTTCAAGTTTCCTGGCATCTTGGAGACCAGGTGTTCAGCATACTCATGAATTTTCGGATGAAGATAAATGTTGGTGGTGTGCCATAATTTGTGCAGCTGTTTTTCTGCTGCAGCCACAACTTTTCTGCGAATAGACAACACATAAAAGGCTTATGGACTTCTTTTTCAATAGCAAATAATCTTTAAGACTGAAACCCAAGCAATGTATACCATAAAAAAAACTGGAAACTTAAAACTTCAAGAAAAAGAAGAGCCAAGAATCAGAAAAATCAAAAATACATTTTACATACTAAACAGATGACTGGCTATGATATTTTTTCCAAAGCTGTGTACATGGTACCCTGAAAAAGATGGGTGTTTCGAAAAGGCCAGGTCAGAGTATCTAAGCAGAGAAATGAGTGACAAACCAAGATCATCAATGCTTATTTCAGATCTGGCACTTAAAAAAGATGGTAGCAGACAAAGGAGTTTCAGAAACACTGGTTAAAAATATATTCTTCTTCAACTTAAAAAAAACCCAATTACTTAAAATCACTGCTGACTTCTGTAGCCGGATCTCTGTTCACAGACTTGATCAACACAAAGAAGTGTCAAAATTAGAAGCTGATAGAGTGTCTTCAATTTCTTCTCATTCCAACAGGGACATTTTCTTCCAAGCTAAGTGCCAAGTCAGAGTGCTTTAGTTTTAGTAAGAGTTTTACGGCACTTGCAACACAATAAGGTCATATAAGTGCCGAAGATTAGAGGTGTTACAAGAGAGTAACAAACACAAAAAAGAAGGAGGAGAGATTAGGACGATGGATGTTTGATAGGAAAGAAGGAGCAAACCACACCAGAGCACCCGCCAACCACCTACAATGCCTTGACAACAAGTTTATTGATGACCCACAAAGAACAGAGAGCAAAAACTAAAAGTAGTACCTACATAGAGATAGAATCAAAATAGATGGGGCTCCAGAGGCGGAGTGGCCTTTGAGCTCAGGCTCATAATAATGTCAAGCATATCGTCGGCCGATAATTCTAACCGTCCAACTCCGATTTCGTAAATTTAACAGGAGAGACAAAAAACTGAATTCAATGGCTCTTATGGGGATTTACGGTCTTTAAATGCGCTAGACTGGAATAAATGACTCTACTATTAAGTATTTATAACAAAACTGAAGAAATTTTGTTATTTTAAGTCCTAAACCAGAGTTATACGGATAGACCGCTCAGTTTTGGATTTCTAACCATCCAAGTGTCGACGTACGAAATGTACGTTTAGAATTCTCCAACCCGGCGGGGACGCCACGCGCTTCGTTACGTCTAACTCAGTCATCGTGACACGTTAATGTTACCGAACAACTTGAAATGACTACACCTGCAGTCAATCCAATATGAAGCTTACTATAAATAAAAGTTCTAATTAGTACTACATAGTACTGTAGATCTAGAATCTAACAATAATACTGTTATTATATCTAAAATTGAACGTCGCACTTTATTTCCACATACTTCTAATTAGGCAATGGGCTTGTCCACAGATTAAGTGCGTCGTTAAGTTTTTACTATAAGGCTACTATTTGATCCTCCATTCTTAAGGAAATTGTGAGAAGGATTGGTTACTTGTCTAGCTACAAGAGAGAGAAAGAGAGAGAGAGAGAGAGAGAGAGAGAGAGAGAGAGAGAGAGAGAGAGAGAGAGAGAGAGAGAGAGAGAGAGAGAGAGAGGGGGAAAGAGAGAGGGGGGGGGGCTGAGAGAGAGAGAGGGAGGGGTCTGAAAGAGAGAGAGAGAGAGAGAGAGAGAGAGAGAGAGAGAGAGAGAGAGAGAGAGAGAGAGAGAGAGAGAGAGAGAGAGGGGTCTGAAAGAGAGAGAGACAGAGAGAGAGAGGGGGGGGGCAGAGAAAAATTTCCGTATACGAGTTGTCTTCATGGAGCTTCTTTTATGGCTAATTTTCCCTGTTTGAAGTGCAGATTCTGTCGCAGTGCTAGCTCTCTAGTCACTAGCATAATAGTTCTTTTCTTTATCCTTTTCCTCCATGTTTTCCTGTCCTCTGTTATTTCTTCACAGATGCTGACATCTACTCCAAGCTTAGATTATAATCTGTTTTTGCAGAGGTCTTTGTACCTCAATTTTGGTCTTCCTCTTGGTCTCTTTCCCTGGGCAAGTTCTCCATAGAGAAATTGCTTCGGAATCCGGTTGTCGTCCATTCTCTTGACATGGCCCAGCCATCTCAATCTTCTTAAACACAGGATTATTTGTAGGGTTGATTCATTATGAACAACAAGAGCAGCATCATCGGCAAAGAAAAGGTCTCGTTTTGTTGTTTGGTTTGTTGAATTTGGTCTTGGCTCGAAGTAGAGTAAGATTGAAGAGCGACCCATCAGTTCTCCAGTGTTAGAAACTGAAATGCTTGCAACTCTAAAAACAAGGTTTAACTTGGTTGGAAGACTCTAGAAGTAATATGATTTTTTAAAAGCTCAACTAAACCTCATGTCCCGACCTAATGTATGTCACAATTAAAAAACACATTTTTTATAGAAAGTCATCAAGATGAGGTATGCCATAGCAGCATCCAGTGTCAACGGGCATTAATTATCCTCTTGTCCAAGCACCATTATGAGGCTTTAGAATGCTCTACCCAATGAAGCTAAAGCTCTTGCTAGCTAAAAATAAACTACATAAACCAAAGAAGACACACTGCATATTAAATTAGACTTGGCCGTGGGTTTTAACTTTTGCACTGGTGACGTACTCAATTCTAGATTGTCATAGAACTTGTGGTAGTCAGACTTCATTTCTTGCATGTGTTTGAACTTTCTACCCTGGTACAGAGGCAGTCCCTTCATGTCTTCATGGAGAATGTCTGTGGACTCGCCACGCTTCAAAGGCAGATGTGACCAGTCATCATCAAATCTCAGTTTGTATTTAATTTGACCATCTGGTGTGTATTGAAGTTGAAGTGGTCTAATTAAACTCTGGTTGGTTAGTTTGATGAAATCAGAAAAGATATAATGAGTCAAATACTTGACAACATAAGGCTTCACTTTCCTACTTTCTTCCATTAGCCTGACATTATCAGCTGGGTAGTAGATGTGCTGTGAGCACTGTCCACCTCCATCTGTGTATAACCCTTCTCTAGGAATTTTAGTGTTACAGTTTTACCATTGACAGAGCTGACATGTAACAGTGCAGAACTCATTGTGACTTTGCAGTTCTGATACAACCACATCCATCTGAATATAATGATCTGGAGTTCAAATCAGATGACAAAAAATCAGCCACACAAGGAGCAAATTCATTTGCAGTCAGAGCACCTTCGCATTCATTTGAGACATAACATACACAGTCCTTGCTCTCTAGATCATACACTATGAAATTGTGAACTTTCAATTTCGTCTTGTAGTACAAAGCAGAAGCATTGGTGCGTGGATATAGCAGAACATTGTGATGTATTTGATTTTGGGGCTTCCCCCCATGCATTTTTCTTTGTCTGCTGTCTTTTGTGTATGCCCCCTCTTCCACATTCCCCTCCTAAAAGATCGCACCTATCTTTTCGAGGATGGAACAATGACAGGTTCACAGCATTGATCTCCTCTTTAAACTTGAAGGTAGAAAGTAATCCCCCCCCACAAACACACACTCATACTTTTTTTTATACAAACGGGGGTACACTGCCTGTAAGTTCTGGAAAACAGGTACCAAGTAAAACTTACTGGCGTTCTTCCGGAAAAAATGAGATGGCAACTTCGGCAGATCACGAAGAAACTGTTTAAGTACCTTTGATTCTGTAGTCTCCTCCCTCACCCTCTTTCTCTGAACTGGAACCTCACCCTCTGCTACCACCAACCCACGTGTGAGAACATTATGAACACACTAGTTACAAAGTCACAGGACTTAAGAAGAAAGCCTTGCACACTTTGACTCTGTCTTCACTCACTCGCAGATTGTATTTCATGGACCACGATCTTCTTCTTTCTCTCTCCTCGATATGATGAGATGTGTTTGTTTTCCATCAACAACTCCATTTGTAGATTACAAGAAGAACCAGACTCATTTTGTCAGCATGCCTCTCACATTTGTCAGTGGCACAGTATTTAGACAGGTGGTCACTGGGGAGTGACAAACTGCACTGAGGCAACAGCAACGGCATGCTAAAATGCTTATTTTGTCAGTATTCAATGTGATGGTGTACATTGTTTTACACTAACAGGCCTACATTACACCAATATGTATTTATGCAGGCCAATGTCAACCAAATTTACCCTCACGGATAAATAAAACTGGCACTTAAATTGTTCAATTTCAAAATTTTCCATATCACAGAAAGCTCTCAGAAAAGGACATGGCTAGGTGGAGGAATTTTCGTATTTAGCGCTGTGCGATGAAAAACCATCCGAGACACAAATGACTTACGGGTGGCAGTGGCCAACACTAACTGTAACAATCCCAGCGAACAAGTCAATGTATCGTTTGCCAGCTGTGTCCCACAAGTACTGCATGTAGCCCTGGTTGATGTACACTGGCTCTCGGTAGAACGTCAAGATCCCCGGGGGGAGGTTAGCTTTGCGGACTGCCATAGCACGGTCAAAATCAGGACCCTGGGAGAGAAAGGGGAGCAATCAAATGGAGCCTCTTAAATAAACTTCAAGTGTTCAAAAAGACCTGGAAATCAGACACAAAACAGATATTTATAATTCAAGAAAGCGCTTACTGCATTTGTGAATTAGTATTAAAAAAGTATTCCATTATATTAATTATTATGAAAACCGTATTGTATTATCAGTTATTACAAACACAGTTTTCCTTTTCATTACTATCAAATCAACATGCAATTGATGGTCAAACAACAGGTTCATGTGAACAAAAAAAGCCAACCCATATAACATAATACCGGCAATTTAATTCCTTCAGAACGGAAGCCATCCTTAGTGACATTTATAAAATAATGATGCCTGACAGCACATGAAACTCCAATTGTTGGTTTGAGAGTTGACACCTTATAATTAAGAAAAACTATGTGCATTGCTCATAAGGCGAAAGTCAATAATACTATCCGCTAAATGGCAACTTCCGTTACTTTCTGATCCATTCTTGCAACACTATCTATCTAGCACGCACATAGCAAAATTGGCGAGATGTAGAAATCTTTTCATTTTATGAATTTTGCTATGAGCGTCTTCTAAATATAAAAAATGTACAATATAAGAACAAATTCAAGACCTGAAAATCTGTTAGCTATGTTCGTGTTTTGCTATGTGTGTGCGAGACAGTTTTGACCATTCTTACATCATGGGGCAGTGGTTTAACGTCACAAGGTGGCATCTCAGGGAGTCCATCGTAAGCAGACGCAGCAGCTGTGCTCTTAGAGGCCTGACCAGATAGACCTGTAAACAGACATTTATTGGGTACATAGTTTTAAAAATCAGTTGGTATCGTGCTGGGCTATGATGCTGAAGACCCATAATGCGGACCCTAAACAGGGTATTCATAAAATGAGGGCTGCTTTGGGAGTTGTAATAATAATAATAATAAAACTAGCACTCTAAAGCACATGTCCATGCTCAACAGCAAGCTGTATGTGCTTTACAATCTATATCAATTAATACTCTAGAACACTCAGATAAATTCTCACTTCTCGGGAAGCATACAGTAGGCCCTATACAGTATACAGTGTAAGCAGTTGATTAAGCCCTCAAAACACTAACAAACCGATAAGATGTTTCGCTGCCTACAAACAGGTATCCATTCCCAACTGGGTGAAGTGAGGAAAATTTGCTTAAAGTGCTTTTCCCAAGGACACTACACCGGGCCCCTCACAAGATTCGAACCCATGACCTTCCGATTGCAAGTCCCAGAGCCTTACCACAATGCCATCACTGATGATTTCCATATATGTACCAGAGATGAAAGTCGAATTAACAGGTTCTACTCTTAAATTTGACTACTATACAATGTTCAAAAGGGCCTTAAATTCCAGAAATTCAATAGGTCAATAGACATGTATTATGATCAAAGAAAACAGTATGTCTAAGAGTAAGTTGACAACATGTCTATATTGGTCGGCATCCTCTCTATACAGCATTACACATAAAAAGCAAAAGTCACATTTGAATGGCAGTGTTTACAATTCTTATCAAGCACTTCTGGCGTGAAGAAAAATCAGGAGGCAAATTTCTTTTTTTTAAACTTAGCCAGATCAACAACTGACTTCTCCTACACTCTACAGAAGTTATAACAAAACAAATAATTTGTTTTTGATCTTTCCTCGTCAATACACGTTACTTATTTCTGGCTCAGACACAGTACTTTGGTAGAGTTTTAAACAAAGAGTTCATAATATCTTCATTTTCAAATTCAAAGGTTTCCAGAAAAATAGTGCTGCTAGAAGTTAGTAGATTGTCATTTCTTTTTAAACATGCTTTTAAATTTATATGGGAGGAGAGAGAGAGAGAGAGAGAGAGAGAGAGAGAGAGAGAGAGAGAAACCAGCGT